CCGCTGAGGCTCCACAGGAAGGCGCCCGCAGGAGGCCCTGCACGCAGTGGGGCTGCCCCGGGCACGCAGTGGGGCTCAGCGGGCACGCAGTGGGCTCAGCGGGCACGCAGTGGGGCTGTCCCCGGGCATGCAATGGGGCTGCCCCCAGGCACACAGTGGGGCTCAGCGGGCACACAGTGGGGCTGCCCCGGGCACACAGTGGGGCTCAGCGGGCACGCAGTGGGGCTCAGCGGGCACCAGCTCTGCCAGCTCTCCCGGGAGGCGCTCTCCGGGCGGCCAGGGAGACAGGCCGCACTGGGTCACGGGGTCAGGGGTCAGGGATGCTGCCCGCTGGGCCGCCCTCCTGCCCGTGGACACCAGGACGGTCCCTCCCTGGGGCCGGGGAGGAGGAAGCCGCCGTGGGGTCAGCTCGGGGCGCCCCTTCCCGCCTGCGGGAGCCCAGCCCTGGGCCCCCCTCGGTTGGCGAAGGAGGGACAGGCTCAGCCCCTCCCCCACGCCCAGGCCTGCCTGGAGCCAGGCCCTCCCGGCTGCGCGCAGTCCGGTTGCCATGGGAACAGGAGAGTCTGGGCGTGCAGCCTTGGCAGATGCCCCCTCCTGAGGGAGCCCGGAGCGGCCCCGGGGGAGGGAGGCTGGTGGCCAGAGGCCCGGGGGGTCAGGCGCCGGCCGAGGCCACAGCAGCGGGCAGGGTGTCCGCTTCTAGGCTGAGCCTGCGCCGGCCTGGCCCCCAGGCTCCGCCCGGGCCTCCCGGGGCTGGGGTCCCCGTGCGCGGTCTGGGTGGGGAGATGTGACTCTGGGGGCGCCCCTCAGCAGAGCCTCAGCTCCCCGTTCACAAAGGCCGGGCCACCAGCTGAGGCGCCCTGAGAACGCTGGTCCCATGGGGACCCTCCGCCCCGCCCGCTGCCCGGCTGACGAGGGACCGCCTGGGGCCCCGGTGGGGGTCCACCCCCGGGTCCCTGCTCCGGGGCCAGCAGCACCCCTGGCCCGGCCTCCCGAGGCGGCTCGGCTCCGTCCCCGAGTGCGGCGAGCTGGGCCCTGCCCCGGCGGGGGCCGCCGCCCGGCTGCACTGTCACCAAGAGGCTCTGCCGGGACCCCAGTCCCTGACTGCCCCCCCCCCTCTGGCCCCAGCCCCTCCCACCCGCCGGCCCAGCCCCTCCCACCCGCCGGCCCCAGCCTCCCCCCCCCCGCCGGCCCCAGCCCCCCGCACCCGCCGGCCCCAGCCCCTCCCACCCGCCGGCCCCAGCCCCTCGCACCTGCGCTGGGGCCAGGCCCCCAGAACGGGGGCCGGAAAGTGGGCGCTGAGGACGTGCGGGCTGCGAAGCCGCTCCTGTGCCACGAGACATGTCACCCCGGGAGCCCAGACGAGGGGGAGGGGGTCTGCCTGTTTCTGTCCTTTCATGGGGGCCGCTCAGCACCCGGTTCCCCTTACTGAGCTCTGGGCTGGGGTTCGGGGTGCGAATGGCCCCGCGCCTGGTGCCCTGACAGGAGGCCCCCCCCACCAGTGACCCCTGCAGCGGGGTCAGCAGAGCAGAGAACCGTGTCCACACGCGTGCTGAGCAGTGGCACTCAGAGCGCAGGCGTGTGGTGACCAGAGGCTGCCAGGAGCCTCGCCAGGCTTTCCCCCGACACCCAACCTGCCCCCCAAGGCTGCCCCCAGGCTGATCCCCCCAGCTGACCCCCCAGCCTGTCCCCCCCCAGCTTACCCACGAGCACACCCAGCCTGCCCCCAAGGCTGCCCCCTAGGTTGCCCCCCGAACCTGCCCCCCTTAGCCTGTCCCCCACCCAGCCTATTCCCCCCCTAGCCAGCTCGACCCTGTCCCGCCCCCCCCCATCTTCCCCCGGGACCGTCCTGTCCCCCAGATGAGCGAGTGCGGACACATTCGTCTTTAAAAGCCGCATTGCAGGAATCCCACCCCTGGTCGGAGCCCTCAGCACTGACGACATCAGTGCTGGCTGACCTTGTCCCCAGGCTCCTGTGGGAAGCCCAGCCCAGCCCCTCAGCATGTGGCTGCAGGGGGGCAGGTCTCTGAGGAGGGGTGAGGGGCACACAGTCCGGGGGGCTGTCCGATAGCAAGGTCCCTGCAGACCCATGAGGCACAGACAGAGGGACGACCACGCACGGGCACGGAGGACGTGTCCACACGCCAAGGAGAGGCCTCGGGGCTGCCGGTCACTGAGCTGGTGCTGGTCACAGCAGACACGCAGCCCTCACAGCGGCTTAACCCGGCCACGCGGTCACTCCAGCCGCCCAGCGGGAACCACGCAGGAGCCCTCGTGGGCATCGGAGTGGACGGGTGCCCGCATGCCGCTGGGCTGAGGACTAGAACTCAGCCCTGCAAAGGACGGAGCAGACACAGGCCACCACACAGGGAACCTGGCACACACCACACATGGAGGAGCAGACACGCCACCACATGGAGGAGCAGACACACGCCACCACATGGAGGAGCAGACACGCCACCACATGGAGGAGCAGACACACGCCACACATGGAGGAACTGACACACGCCACACATGGAGGAGCAGACACACGCCACCACATGGAGGAACTGACACACGCCACACATGGAGGAGCTGGCACACGCCACCACATGGAGGAACTGACACACGCCACACATGGAGGAGCAGACACACGCCACCACATGGAGGAACTGACACACGCCACACATGGAGGAGCTGGCACATGCCACCACATGGAGGAACTGACACATGCCACCACATGGAGGAGCAGACACGCCACCACATGGAGGAGCAGACACACGCCACCACACGGGGAACCTGGCACATGGTCCCTCTTGCTGGCCCTCATGACCCCACTGGCCCCCACGGCCCCCCGCTGGCCCCCACGGCCCTCGCTGGCCCCCATGACCCTCTGCTGGTCCCCACTCATTCCCCTCCCTGGGGTCCTCGGTTCCTGGGCCAGGGACCTGCTCTCAGGCCCCACGAGGCGGGCCTGGTGGCCAGGCCTCACTGGGAGAAGGTAATTCTGGGGAAAGTAATTTTTCCATCTGTTTTTCGAAGAAGTTGAAGAGGCCTGTGGTTTGCAGTCTGCTGATGGGGCAGGAAGCGGGGTGTCAGGGAGCGGCCGGAGGTGGAAAATGCCTCGAGGCGCATCCCGGCTTTGGGAGAAAGTGGGTCACCCTGGGAGCTGTCCTGGGAGGGGGGGCTGCCTGGGAGCCGGGGGACCAGGTCCGGGGAGAGGCCAGAGCCCTGTCCCCACCCCCAGGGGTCTCGCTGGTCAGAGGGACCCAGGCCTCGTCCTCGATGTTTGTCTGTCTCCCCAGCTCCGGGGCCCTCTGCTGCTGCCTCTGCAGGGGGTCCCGTGAGGGGCCCGCCCCCCGCCCGGGCCTCCGCCTCCTCTCCTGGCGGAGGGGGCTCCCGCCTGCCTGAGGCGCAGTGAACGTCCAAGGGCCCAGGTGTCTGTGGGCGTGGTCACCCCAGGCTGGGGGGCTACAGGGCTGGCGGCCGGGCCCTCCGAATGCCCTGGGACCCCGGGGCCTAAGGCCTAGCTCCCTGAGCCTGGCTCTCCGACGCCCACTGAGCCGTGAGGCTGCCCTTCTCCCCTGGGGTGTCCTCCTGGGCCCTGGCCCCATGTGCCCCTCGGCTCCGGCTCCTGCACCTTCTC